TCCCTTAAAATTGAACATATATTTATTTCATTGGTACTTACAAAATTGGTGTTGAAACATTAAAAACATGCTGGGCCTCAACAATTAATCAACATGATAAACATTTGAACAATACAAGAGGCTTGAAAAACACCATAATACTCAGTAAGCCATACAGTTGATGTACTTATATGATACAAGATGCATTGAAGGGTCAAAGTACATAGATTAGTATGGGGTCCCTATGCTTGTGGGGCCAAAGGCAATGGCCCATCAGGCCCATGTGTTAAGGCAGCCCTGAATATCCTGGCATAAGATAGGAAATGAAAGATGAGGATCATCTTTCTAAATATGCAAACTGCCACACAGATATTGAGGAAACATCTGGACGTAAAGAATCTCCTCAGAGAATTTGTAAGATGTGTCCTCTCCTCACTTTGAACACCAGGGGGGCAATGTTGTCACACCAAACTCCATGGCCTATGCGGGTGGGGTAGAGAATAAAACAAGCATTTTGAGATATTGCTTCATTTTGCAAACATGACAATTTTTAATATTTTTTTTTGGTCATAGTTCACTGAATGTTATCTCAAGAGAATTTCGCATCTCATGAGTCTTTGATCTGGACCACAAAGTTGAGCATTTTAATAAAATTGTTGGTCTTTTTCAGGAGGGAAACTGTCTGGAATGTTTAAGGGGATTTCAAATTTCCATGCAGAGACATCACCCTGCCAACAAAAGTGTGTATAGTCAAGGCTATGATTTACAATATTGTTGTCCAATTAATGGACTATGCAGCTAGAGTGGTCATTCTGACTGTAATAGCGTAGCTGGAATAGTATGTCTGTGGTTAAGGGTTAATCAAGGCCCTGTGTGACTCTTTTATCCCAACAGATATGCAAATCAAGACACAAATTCCCCTTTAAAGAAGCCCAACTTACTTTTAAGACAACACCCACCCACATAAACCTTGTGCTATTTCCAGAATCCTCTCCTATCAATTTTATCTGTTCATTACAGGGAGCAAAATGTGGCTAAACCTTCTGTCCATACTTGTAGTCCTCAAAGGTAATTATTGCCACTAGGTATTGATTTCTATGTTCTCCTCTTGCATGCAAGGCATCTATTTAAAAAGCTCCTCTCATTTTAGGAGTCCAATCTCAAGTCCAGTTGGTGGAGTTTGGAGGGGATGTGAGAAGACCTGGGGAGTCCCTCCGTCTCTCCTGCCA